GTCTAATTTTTTGCACAGGCTGGTTTCAAGGGGTCTCCTGTCTCAGACTCCCAAGTACCTGGGATTCTAGGTATGCACGACTGAGCGCTGCCTCTGTTTCTAACGCAGGGGACGACATTAGGAGCATAGGAACAACGGAAGGCCTCTTGAACTGAAGGCACCAGGCTTCTGGTCTCTCCCTTGTTTAACACCCCAAAAGTCGTTACATCTTAATGCCTGTGCAAGACCGGAAATATTGTAGAGGGGGGAAACTTTCTTGCCTAAAGTTGGAGAGGGCTTAAATGTAAATGTTTTTCCCTCAACTTTGTGTATTTTAGGGAAGAGGACCTATGGAACCTGAGGATCTGGAAATTGATGAAGAATGATCCCAGCATACATAATATCCTTTAGAGATTCATTATCCATCGCTTTGGGACATGTGTACCCCCTGCCCCAGGTGAAGAATTCAGCACTGCACAGTGCTAAGAAGCTATTAGATAATAGGTGACTCGGGATACTTTCTCCCTATTCCTCTTCTGGTCCAAAGATGAAGAAAACAAAGTATTTTCCCAAAATGTTCACTAAAATTTAACCCAGACTAACTTCAAACATCACGTAAATAATAATGACATAAATCATAGAAAGAAAAGGAACTGCTAGAGACGTGTAACTCTCAGAAAAGGTTCAGAAAATGGTCAAAAGATATTTGAACACAAAGGAAACTGAGAACTCATCTGAACACCATCAGAGGAAACCATCAACTCTGTGCACGGTGTTCTGCGTCTGCACACTGGCGTGGGAATTTCAAATGGGTGTAATGACGACCAAGAGTGAGCTGGGCCTGCTGGCGGGCACGGGTAGCCCCAGCTCTGGGAGGCTGAGCCCAGGAGCTGGAGACCAGCCTGGGCAACACGGCGAGACCCTGTCTCAAAAAAATAAATGCACCAGAGCATCATGAAAGCTGAAGAGTAACCCCTCCCTACACACATGCAAATCATCATCCATTACTGTGAAAACCTAAGTTTTGTAGCTTTTCAGAGGTAAGCAGAAAGATTCGTGTTTCAGAGAAGAGAATGTTAAGCTACCTTTTTGTCCTTTATGGTATAGTTCATAAAAGGAAATGAGTAAAATAAAGTTGATGCATGGTAAAAATATCTTTTCCTGAGAAAACTGAGATCTTACCGAAGTGGAGAATCTTTTTTCTTCTTTTCTTTGAAAACACCCATGCTTGGCTTCTTGGAATGGGAGGCTCCAAAATCACAGTCCTCAAACTCTTCCCAGCTGTCTCCAGCCTTGAGGATAGTCTGACCCCAACGTCTTCTAGCACTTTTATGARCCAGTGGACCATTTGGCTTCTGTGGGAAAATCAGTCGTCATAATCCTCAGTCCTTTGTGAACGCCTTTTACACAAGCTAGTCTATCAGGCACTAAGAGTCACATTCTCAAGGAGCCTTCATCCAGTCCTGTGTCTTCTAAGACCGGAAACCATTCTGAGAAACGCACCCTGAGGTGATTCTGTCATTGTGCAAACATCACAGAAAGGACTTACACAAATCTAGATGGTCTAGCCTACGACACAGGTAGGCTGTAAGGTGTAGCCCATTGCTCTTAGGCTACGAGTACAGCACACTACTGTACTGAGTACCGTGGGCAGCTGTAGCATAATGGTTAGTACTTGTGTATCTACATACATCTCAACATAGGAAAAGTATAGTAGAGGGGTTGGGGGTGTAGCTCAGTAAGAAAGCACGTGCTCAACAAGCACAAAGCCCTGGGTTCAAACCCCAGCACCAAAAAAAAAAAAAATGGGTGTGGAGAGACAAAAATATAGTATAAAAAATGATACAGGGCTAGGGTACAGTGCTTGCCTAGCACATGTGAGGCCCTGGGTTCCGATCCTCAGCACCACATAAAAATAAATAAAGATTATTGTGTCTATCTACAACTAAAAAGTTTATTTTGAAAAATGATACAAATGATACACAGGTTCAGGACACTTACCATGAGCAGAGGCTGCAGGACAGCAAGCTGCTCTGGGTGAGTGAGTGGTGAGTCAATGTGAAGACTGGGACATTACTGCACATGACCGTTGACATTTTAGACACTGTATACTTGGGCGATGCTAAATTTATAAAACATATTTTTCTTTCTTCAATAATAAATTAACCTTAGCTGACTATAACATTTTTAACTTTAAAATCTTTAAACTCTTTTGATTCTTTGCAATAATACTTAGCTTAAAACACAAACACATTCTAAATTAACAGGGATTTTTTGGCTTCATTATAATCTTCCGGGGCCACCATCATACTGTGGTGCATTGTTGACCGAGACATCGCCATGCAGTACGTGAATGTATTTAAGGAGATAATGTGCACATTTAAAAACATTAACAAAAATAGGTAGCACCTGCCAAAAATATGACATGAATTCAGAGGGAGGAAAAATCTGAATTTAGGAGGAGGAAAGACTTCCATATTTAGGATCTGGATGACTTTTTATTAATGTAAAGGATCCAGAAAACCAAGACTTGACTGTGTCTCTTTGGGCAAGTGACTTCACTTTCCAAAGCCTTAATGGCCTTCTCAAGTGGGGACAGCCTTAAGGAGGGGGACATGGAGACAGATATTTCCTAGTGTCCTTCATGATTCCCTCTCCCAAGGGCAAAGGTACACTTGAAAGAGCAACAGTCATCTTGCCACCAGAGGCATGAAAGCCACCTGCTAAGGGGTGGAGCTTCTTTGGAAGCTGCAGGAGCTCTGGGTTGCTGCCTCCCAACTTCAAGTTATGTGAGAAAGACAATCCCTATGGGTTAAGGCACAGCGTTCAGGTTTGTGTTAAAAGGCCCTGAATATAATCGTAATGTACAGAGGGAAATGGGAGGGATAGCTTTAAAAGCCTGAGTCTGAGTGTCTCAGAATAGTGGCACCATTAACAGAAAGATGGAATGAGGAACGAGTCCTGGTTTGGGGCAGACAATGAACTGGTTTCATACAAATTTAAAGAGACACATATGAACTGAAAAATCCCAAAGGCAATTGAAAATTGGGGAACAGAGCTCGGAAGGAAGGTCAGCTATGCTGGGAGGGGATGGGCGGGCTATTGCGTGAGCCGATAGCACCACTTGATGATGGCAAGCAGTGGAACTTGCCAATTTCTATTCTGTTATTTTCGTGGCCAGGGAGAACAATCTCCAGACTGCAGAGAATAAAACATCTAAAGTCCAGTTGAGTGGAGTTAAGGAAGATTACAATTAGTTGCATTCTGGGCTCCTTCCATTTGAACTCTGTGTTAGGTACCAGTGCTGAATGGGGTCAGCGACACCCAAGTGATCCTGTATGTCTGACAAGACTGCAAAGGGGCAAATATAAACAGTTTTCATTTCAGTTTTCAAAGTAGAAGGTATATTTTTGCAAATATCACATCAGAAAGTTTGATATAGAACGAGGGCAAAGATTTTAAAGTCATCTGTTTGTGAGCACTAAGGAAAAAAACCTGGTGGATCTGTAGGCCACCGCTTTCATAAAAAGCAATGAATTCATTAGATGGGTTTGTGTGGACTTCATCCAACTTGGGGACAGAATGTTTCATATCTTTACTAATACAATGTAGCAGTGAAGCAAAGGGGGGTCAGGTCAAGGGTCAATCATTGGACGAGTACCATTTCAAGGATCAGTGTCAATCTAGAAGGTTCTAGTGGCCTGCTCAAGGGCTCACTGCATTCTTTTCATCATGAAGATACAGGAGGAGAATAAAAAACAAATCTGTAGCTGGCAACAGGTTACATAGAATGGTTAGACAGAAAAGTAAAAGTAAGGGTTCAAGCATAATTAGAAAATTGGGAGGTTTTACCCTCGCTTTTAGCGAGGTCCTACAACTTTCTCAATCCTAAAGATCAAACGCCCAAGTAAAGGTATTTAACATGTTTCGCAGAAGCGTGTATAAAAAAAATAGATTTAAAAGTTTTAGTTGAAACAATGCTCAAATCCAGTTCTGGAACTTGTTAGCTATGTAAAAATTTAGGGTTAGGTTATTATTGGTACTTGAACTTGTGTGAGAAGGCACACACAGGGGCTTAGCATCATGCCTGGCTTGTAGCTACTTCTACATGTAGCTGCTCAACATATCCGCTTCCTTCCTTCCCTCTCAGATTGCATCAATGTTTGATTTGTCTTCTAAGAAAATAACAACAACAACAACAAAGAATGTAACCCTTAGTGGCACCAGTGGACCCGTGATTCCAGACAACTTGTTTTTCCTCCCTATCCATCCGTGCTCTAGCTCGGGCAGGAAAAAGATGGGAGGGGACTTGGAAGCTTGTCAGTGAATGGACATCACATGCAGAGCTCATGAGGGAACCAGGGCTATTTCTCCTGGAGAAAGGGAAGGTCATGTAAGGGCTATTTCGGCTCTACCTAAAAGACAGCCTTTCTAGAAGAGTGTTTAGCTTTTATTAAAAGCCAGGGAAAACCAGAGTTCAAGTCAGTATAATAGGCAGAAGTTTCTAAAGTTCAGTACTTTCTCAAAGATGAAGAGGACTCCTCAGGACCTTTGAGGTAGTTGTTTTTTTTTTTGTTTTGTTTTGTTTTTAATTTTCAATTGATCTTTTATTTTATTTATTTAGGAAGTGGTTTTAAAATAGCATGGTAATCACTCTTTCCTTCAACAAATATTGAGAATGTACCACGTGGCAGGCAGCACATTAGGTTCTGGGCTGTATTGATCATAAAACATTCCCGATCTCAAAGAGCTTGCACACTAGGAGGAAGGGCCAGGTAATACACAATAAACACACCAAACAAGTAATAGTATGTTAGAAATGATCAGTGCCGTGGGGGATGGGAGGCTCTCACTTACTTGAGGATGGTGAACTGATAAGGAATTAGATAAAGTGTTGTTCAGATTTTTCAGTCCTAACCAAATGCAAATGCATGTGGGGGTGCACACCTGAGTGGGCAACTAAAACCTTCCCGCACCTAATGAGCTCTGGAGCTGCCTGGAAGTGGGAAGAGGAAGTTTTATACTATGCCTGACACTTAAAACCCATTCAAGTGCAATAGAACTTAAAAGCAGCGCAAAATTCTCGTTAAAATTCCTGAAATTTAGAATCAGGACTCTTGAGTACCCAACTATTTTCAGTTCTTCTTTGAGTTCTTTTGTACCAATGTAATTATTCAAGGAAAACTATAGCATGCAAACTTTTTAACTTTCATTCAGAAAGTCTTTCTTTCTTACATATAAAATGTTCTCTCACGTCATGCACCTCACAGAGGAGGCAGGAGCTTTAACACAGGATGATCTTTTATATCTTCCCAAATGTTATTAGAGCTGCCTGGCACTCAATGCATTGGCTCAATCATAGGCCACTTACAGTTGGCAGGTTTTTGACGATGCTAGGAAACAGTGTTTGTGGCGGTCTCGGTTGACTCTGTTGCTTTGGTGGCTGCTGGAGGTCCCCGTCCTGTGGCGGCTGAATGGACTGCAGTGGTAGGTGGCTGTGCTTTGGCTGGGGCTGTCCGACAGTCTGGTCGGTTACGTCTGGCAGAGGCTTGGGGTCTAGGTCAACAGGAGCTGGCTTGCATTCTAATGACTGCAGCTGCTTATTTAAAGTCTGTTTTGATTCCAGAAGATGTGAGGAAGGGCCTAACACCTGTCCCACTTGAAAATATGGGTGTTTCAATGCCTATAACAGCAACATTAAATGACATTAACATTTAGTTCATCGAAATGTTTCCAAATTTAAATTATGTACATCCTTAGCTTGAAATATGTTGCCCACCCTTAACAATGCATTCCTAGTGCTGTCTTAAAAAAAAAAAGTGTGGGGGGGATGAGGATGGATGTAGCTAAGTTGCCCCCAGGCTCTCTTCGAACTTGTGATCAGCCTCCTGAGTCACTGGGATAACAGGTGGGCACCACCACCCTGGCTAAGTCCTCCAGATTTTAATTCTTAAGTAATCAAATCTTATGTGTGTTCCCCTTTGTGATTTCTCCTATTACTTTAATATCCATGCTCTTCTTACCCTGAGATCAAATGCATATCCTTTCTTTTAGTTTTTAATGACTTAGTTAAAACACACACACACACACACACACACACACACACACACACAGTGATTTATTTGTGAAGTATGGTGAGAGGTAAGAACCTAAATTCACTTTTCCTGAAGAGTTAGCAAACTGTCCCAGTGAACTGTCATTCACTGAACAGTCCCACCCTCTCCCTGCCATTTCTGACACTGTGTTTATCTTATCCTGACTTAAACGTTTTGCAACATGGAGTTATTTGTCAATTCTTATGCAGTACTTTCACTACTGTCATTATGATCACTTCAAGGACCATTTTTAATAACTGCAGGGCAGGTGTCCACCTACATGCTCTCTAATTGCTTATTCTTGTTCAATTGTGCCTTGACTTTCTTTCCCATTTGTTCTTCCAGATGGCCTTCAGAAAACATATTCTTAGTTTTTTTTCAAATTTAAAAGAGAAAAGTAATTCTTAGGTAATTTTCACATATGATTTATGTTTAATCATTAGAACATAATGAAACTCATCCATTTTTTAACTTATTTGCAAATAAAAACTTGTAAAGATTCTGAAACTTGCAACAGTCACAGAGGAACAAGGGTGTGCCCCAGTGCTGCCCTCTTGTGGGAGCTGGAGGCTGAACACTGTTACTCCATCCTCTGGAGTGTGAAGGGAACGAGAATCCCAAGCCTCAGCCAAAAGAGAGTAGAAAAGTCTAAAATGACAAATGATTGAAGAGATGCCTTTTTTGCTACCCATGACAAGGTCTTCCAAACTTATCCATAGCATGCCTGAATTGTCTTTAGAGATCCATCCCTTTCAGACTCAACCTCCTAGGGGCTTCCTCATTTGAATCCCCAAACAAAATCACCTTCGTGCTATCTTTGCAATTCTCCCAAGGATCTTCCCTGTTGAGAAGCTGATCGACTATACTAACTGGATGCCCTAGGGATGCATTCTCTCGGTAAGCCCTGGTTAAGCGTGTCTGTGCAGATGAAAAAATCCCTGACATTGATAAAACTCAAAAGTTTAAAAGTTGTAACAGAGAGATTTGCCTCACCTGGCTTGCTGTTGGTCGTTTCTTTGGATCCCAATTCAACATTTCAGTCATTAGCTGAATGGCTTCATTACTGGCATTGGGAATAAGGGTTTTTAAGTTTATAGGAACACACTGAGGAAAGCGGAAATTCATAGAGGATGCAAGCTGGTATCCTTCTGGCCAGTCACTCTGTTGAAAGAATATATATGTGGAGGTGGGGAGCAAAAAGAAAATTGTTTTAGTAATCAATTTAAAGACACAAAAGTAATTCAGGTATGAAAATTTGAATACTGATTCATATAAATGAATGTGAAATAAAATATCAGCCTTTATTTCTGATTAGGTTCTACCAATCACATAGAAAAAAAGAACATTGAGTTGAGAGGGAAAAAATGAGAAAGCTCCAYGTTTCACAATATTACACTCTTGTCTGGTTTTGGATCTTGATGATGACATTGGTGACTTTGAACACATAGGACAATACTTTACAAACACTTGATCCTATAGAGATCCTCATTATATATTATATATTGCATCTAATGTGAAGAATTACATAGCTGGAAAATAATAACTTTGTTAGAGCTTAAATATGTACATTTACCTTTCTAATATTAACTACAAGGCACGAACTGATTTATTTAGGATGTAATCATACATAATTACACTACTAAGTACATCCCAGAAAGTAAGGTTCACCTGAAATGCAATATTAATTAAAAAGTGCCAACTACCCCTGGCCAAGGTATGTAAATGGAAACAAGAAAGGGTTAAAAGGAAGTAAGTCCAGGGCCCCAGGGATGTTGGTTGATGCCCGGGGACCTTCACAGAGCAAGGAGGAGTCTCAGCCAGTCACCAACCCCAAGTCACACTCTAAAGAGAACTGTCCCTTAGTTCTTTTTTTTAATATGTATTTTTTATTTTATAAGAAGCAATATCTCAATTACCATGTATAAAAGGAAGGAGAAAGGAACATTACAGTGATTATGATTGACTTCCTTTTTTATTTGAGATGGGCTAGTTTGAGTGAGGTTACTTCCATTTAGTAAGTATTATGGTGTTGTCTGCTTCTGAGTTTTCAGAAACTTTCTTAAAAGCAAAGTTTTGCAAACAAAACCAAGAATCTTAAATAGAACYATTCTGAAAATTTCTTTTCTTAAATTTTTTATTTGTTTTAATTAGTTACACATGACAGTACAATGACCTTGACATATCATACATTTGAATCAGATGGGATATAATTTCTCATTTTTCTGAGTGTAAAGAAAGGCAGCAACCTCTTACTCCGTCTTGGTGGGATTCTGGCTTCTGGTGATCCTCATCCTACTCCATTTTAAAAATGATAGGATTGTGATAAAATCACTGAAGTATAAAACTATTTGAAAATGAAAAAAGTCAGGTACCTAGCCAAAAGTGATAATCAAAAAGTTATAAAATTCAAAGCAAAGTAGCAAGTTGGAAATGATGTAAAGTTAGATCAAATAAGAGTTACTTTACTTACTTTCTTGGGAGTCCCTAAAACTTGGCAGATTTTGAAGATTTCATCAATTTCACTTGTCCCTGGGAACAGAGGTCTTAGGGTATAGAGTTCGGCCATGATGCTTCCCACAGCCCACACGTCAATGGGAGAACTGTACACTGACGATCTTAGTAAAACTTCAGGAGCACGGTACCTTTGAAAAACAAGACAAAAACCAAAAAGGCTGTTTGGAGTACAACCTCACAGGTGGATGGGCAGTAGACTCTAGTCATTAGTTTCAATCAAGGGATACTTATTTTCTCCCGTGTGCCAGGCATGTGTACGTGTGTTGGGATGGGCTGGACATGACACGAGGGGTGGGGCTCTACAGGAACCTATGAAATGCCCATGGAGCCTGAGATAGGAACTCAAATGAATAACAGGGAAATAAGTACTCTCTGATATTTTAAGAAAAAAAAAAACATTCCCCAAGCATCATGTCCAGCATATATTCACATGAAGGGTAGGAAATGAAAGATTAACAAAGATTATCCCTGAGTAGTACATTTTTTCTTTCTTTTTATCAGTTTTAAAGTGCTCATACCAAACTGGGAATGGAACCACCATTTGACCCAACTGTCCCACTCCTCAGTTTAGACCCAAAGGACTTAAAAACAGCATACATTAATGTTTATAGCAGCACAATTCACAATAGCTAAACTGTGGAACCAACCTAGCTGCCCTTCAGTAGAGAATGGATAAAGAAACTGTGGTATATATACACAAGGGAATATTACTCAGCATTAAAAGAGAATAGAATTATGACATTTGCAGGTAAATGGATGGAGTTGGAGAATATAATGCTAAGTGAAGTTAGCCAATCCCAAAAAACCCCAATGCTGAATGTTTTCTCTGATCTAAGGATGCTGATTCATAATGGGGATGGGGGGGCAGCGTAGGAGGAATGGAGGAACTTTAGATAAGGCAAAGGGGAGGGAGGGGGAGGGAGGGGAAGGGAGGGGGCATGGTGGTAGGAAAGGCAGTGGAAGGAGATGAATACCATTACCAAAGTTCATGTATGAAAACACGAATGGTGTGACTCTACTTTGTGTACAACCAGAGACGTGAAAAACTGTGCTCCATTTGTGTACTACCAACTGAATTGAATTCTGCTGTCATAGATAACAAATTAGAATAAAATTTAAAACGTGCTCATACCATCAATCCAATCTTTTCTGTAGACAATAATATTTTTAAAAAAATTTTTTTAGTTGTAGGTGGACACAATACCTTTATTTTATTTATTTATTTTTATGTAGTGCTGAGGATCGAACCTAGTGCCTTACACATGCTAAGTGAACATTCTACTGCTGAGCCACAACCCCAGCCTAATAATAATATTTTTAATTGAGGAAAATATGTATAAGACCAAAGGTACCTGGTAAGCCCAGCACAAAGTCTGCTAACTGGACAATATTTTCAATTCTAATTTTTTTTCTCCACATTGAAACATGAAAATATTGCAGTACAAATGTTTTGTAGCAGTCTTTTTGTTTTCACCTAGAGTTCTTTGACAAATATTTTTAACAGCTTTCCTGAGAGATGATTCATATAACATACAAGTCACCCTTTAAGCTATGCAATTCAATAGCTTTTAGTATATTCACGATCAATTTTAAGACATTTTCTCTATCTTTCTTATCCACCTCTCCCTTGATATCCTGTACCCAGCCCTAAGCAGCCACTAATCAAACTTCTGTCTCCACTTGCCTACTGTGTACTAATTTCCTAACAACGGAGTCGTACATGATTGTAACTAGCTCCTGTCACTAGGCATAACATTTTCAGGGTCTGTCCATATTGTAGCATGTATCAGCCCTTCATTTTTTAAAATATCTTTAGTTGTAGATGGACATAATACCTCCATTATTTTATTTATTTTTATGTGGTGCTGAGGATTGAACTCAGTGCCTTACACGTACAAGGTAAGTGCTCTACCATTGAGCTACAACCCTGGCCCAGCCCTATATTTTTATTGCTGAAAAATATTGTATCAATTTGCCACATTTATTGACCCATCCATCAGTGGAAGGATGTTTGGGTTATTTCTGGTTTTGGCTGTAATGGATAATGCTGCCATGAACATCCATGCACTAGCTTTTGTGTGGATATCTTTTCTCCTGGGTATACAGCTAGGTGTGGAATTTCTAGACCACATCGTGCCCATGTTTAACCACTGAGGAACTGTGGCCTTTTCCAAAGCCTCTCTATCATTTTATATCCCAGCAGCAGTTTATTAGGATTTTGCTAATTTTGTACATTCGTATCAACACCTGTTGTTATGTTTTGACAAATATTTTTTGTGAGACAAAATTGATTTATGTTTTGCCAAACTTAGACACAGAAACACTTAAGTATTCTCACTTCCATTCCATGTCAATATAGAATTTATCCAATTAAGAATAGGATCTCATTCCAAAGAATCTTCCCTCAAGAGATTTTCCAAATGTAATTACACATTTAACAAAATACAGCTACTACATTATTTGAACTTTTATCATTTCTTCAATTCCACCCTTGCTTTTGTAGATAAACATTGACTTCCTGTCTTCAGACTTTGTTTTCAGTAACTGCAAGTTGCTATAAGCTTGGATTTTTGGTCCTCTGTTTATTGAAAATTCTGATTAAAAATTTCCAAGTGATTTGAAACACAACGCAACCAAAATTTAAAGGACTTGTTTATGAAGAAGCTAAAATGCAGTTGTCAAATCACCTAAATTGGGTTACACAGTAATTCTTCAGGGTCAAGGACAGACAGCAAGGAGAGAAAGCACATGCTGCCATGCTCCAGTTCTTCTTAGTGAACTTCAGTATCCTCAAGACTTTGTAGTTCAGTTATTCTCCCTCAGCATGTGTGTGGATGATTGGTAAATTCTGGGGATGGTTTATATGTTGACTGGCAGCTTGTGTGGATGCATTTCCAAACCAGACCCACATCATAAGCAATCCTTGCCGCTTCCTCGGTTCCATCTTCATTTGGTAAGAACATTGTTCTTATAAAGTTAGGCTTGTGGAAATGTGTATTTGTATTATCAATTTAAAAATAATACTTTCATTTTCAATGAAGAATTTTTAAGTTGAAATTAAGGTAGCATTCACAGTAATGTCAGATTTTTCCCCTTTCACAGAATGAGCCTATTAAAAGTTTCATTTTGATTCTATGAATCATAATAAAAACTTAGAAGTCGTTGCTAGAAATAAAGTAACTGAGTTTTTCCTTTGAAGCATTTCCACTTGTTTTAAAATGGCATCATTTAACTGTGACATCCTTCCTCCAATAAAGCACGTGTACACGCACAGCCAATCACTTCACCTTTCTACTTGAAACAAGATGGACCCAAAGTGGAGAGAAATTAACTCAGTATTTCGTCCTAGAATAATATGAATTCATCCGAAGCGGCACGTGCTAACGCTGTCCTTAACAGTCTTCTAAAATGCTACTAACTTTCCAAACAGATGCTAACACTGCCTGGGGAGAGTTACTTTACTCCAGCTCAGTGACTATGTCCCCTGTGGATGGCAAATGTCACTGAATGTTTTGTGTAAATTCATCAGCAATTTCTCTTTTAAGAAACAAAAAAAGACTTTTTAAAAAAACTAAATATGCAGTTTTCTTTTGGAAAATTACTGATGATAAAAAGATTTCAGTGCAAAACGATTTCTTAAGAAAGCATCACCAAATGTATTCCTCACCTCAGGGTAGTTTGAACAAAGTACCACAACCCAGGAAAAAAACAGGAATTTACCCCTTGTGTCTGGAGGCTTGGTAGGGCCATGGTCTATAGGGGCAGATCTGTTCCAGGAAACTCTTCCCCCAGCTCCTGGTGTTGCTTTGGGCCATCCTTGGCTCAGGACATACCACTGGACCTCTGCGCCCGACTGCTTTCCTGGGAGCCTTCCCTTCTCCTCCCCCCTGTGCATGGCTGTCTCTGTGTATCTTCTTATGAGGACACCAGTAAGACTGGATTAAGGCCCACCTGACCCCACCAAGACCTCAGCTTGACCCAGTTTAGAATGAGATTACATGCACATGTACCAGGATTAGGACTTCAATATATCTTTTAGGGAGACAATTCAAACTAGAACAACGAACAAGAAAATAATGTAGATTTATACTTTGTAATAATCACCGTAGAAAGAATATTCAATTTTTTTTGCGTCTGTGTATATGTGTGTGTGTGTGTGTATGTGTGTGTGTGTGTGTGTGTGGTTTGAGGATTGAATTAAATAGTGCTCTACCATTGAGCTATATCCCTAACCTTTTTATCTTTTTTGAGACAGGATCTTGCTAAAATGCCCAAGCTGGCCTTGAACTTGTGATCCTCCTGCCTCAGCCTCCTGAGTCACTGGGGGTACAGGTGTGCACCACCCTGTGGGCTTCAAACCACTTTTTTCTTCTTTTTTAAAAAAAATATTTATTTAATTTATTTTTAGTTGTAGTTGGACACAATATTGTTATTTTATTTATTTATTTTTATATGGTGCTGAGGATCAAACCCAGGGCCTCCCATGTGCTAGGCAAGTGCTCTGCCACTGAGCCACAATCCCAGCCCCCACTTATTTTTTCATTACATATTTTATTTGGAGATGTTTACACAAGTACAGGGAAGCTAAATTTTTGAGACAGTGGATGCTATTAGATAATCGTCAGTTTATTACAAAAGAGACGTGGAAATTCTTTACATGATGAAAGATTTCAGAACTTCAGTGGAATGGACAGCTTCACAGGATGCCATTTCAACAGTGATTTGTTTCAGTCTCCATGCTTTCCAAGAATGTCACCGTGTCTAAATAAGAAATGATCCTTGTCATCTAGAACACTTTGGTGCCTCTATACTCTGGGAGAAGACCTTCATCTCCAACCTTCACGCTAAGTGGCTCAATCTCCCACCCTTTCCTTTAGAGCCTGACCCACAGCTACTACCGTTGCTTGCAATACTTTTCCTTGAGATTTTTCTGGAAGCATAATGCCTCCTTTGGTTACAGTTTCGGGGGCACTCCTTTCAACCAATACTCGGTTAAAAAGTGGAAGAAACTTTCTAAATGCTTGTCCGGCTCTGACTCCCGCTGCTGAAGTTTGGACTCTGCTCTCGTGCTGCTGCCCCAAAGAGACCCCTCAAAGCCCTTCTGATATGCCCTACAGGTATTTTACAGAGGAGTGACGACCTCCTACACCTCCTGTGCATCCATGATGCCACCAAGTGGCACCTCAAAGCTATGGCTTAGAAAGTGGCACAAGTGGCTGGCCAGCAGAGGGAACAGTGTCAAATACTTCTGTTGCCACCCACCATGGAAGAGGTGGCTGAGGACCACTCCTGGCTAACACATTTGTCACACTCTTCAGGAAAGGCATAAAGAAAGATGGGAAATAACTGGCCATCTTTCGTATTTTGCCATGTGTCAAGATGCAAACTTGGCTCACTGATCACATGTCTCTTAAGTTTATGGAAAAGAGCCCAGAGGAAACAGGAAGTGTGTTGATAATGGCACCAGCTGGGACTGTCCTGGGCAAAAGAGACACACAGTCACTCTCTCCAGGCTCATCCTCAGACCTCTCCTCTAACTATACTGCTCCTTTGGTGATCTCAGCCAATCCTGAGAGTTGAAATACTGGGGTCTTCTGAACTGATGTCTCCAGCCCAGCCTTTGCCCTTGAGCTCTGGATCACACATCTAACCATCGCTTTGGCATCCACTGGCTGTCATCTCACTCAACCCCAAACAGGACTGTGCTTTTCCTGCCAAGGCCTCCGTAGCATTCCACAGCTCAACGAGTGGTGGCTTCATCCTTCCAGATAATCTGGACAAAAACCTTGGAGTGTTTGATTCCTTCCTCTTATCCGGCACCCTGCTTCATGGGGAAACGCACCCAGAATCCCACAATTCTCACCATCCACACAGCCAGCAGGCTCAGGTCACCATCTTTCCCTGCCCAAATTATCTGTCTCCCTGCTTCTGCCCTTGATCCCCTAAAACATGCTTTCAACATGGCGGCCGGGGTGATGCCTGTAAAGCTGGTAGGTCCTGGCATCTCTTCACACAATCTTCCTGGAGCAGCCCCACTGGCTCAGATTCAAAAGCTAGTCCCGACAGTGACCTACCAGGCCCTGTGTGATCGGGCCGCCCTGCAAACTCTCTGCCCTCATTTCCAAATGCTGTGCTCCCCACTCATCCTGTACTTTACAGAACCTACTAGGGGCACATTTCTGTCCCAGAGCCTTTACTTTCACAGCATGGGTTCAGTCTGAAAGCTCCCACTTGCCCCAGCACCTCCTCCAGGCCTATTCTCAGTGAGACCCTCCATTAAATTAGCAATACTCCCCCTCTCCCCCCATCTCCCCCCAACTCCCTGTGGCCTCTTCATATTTTACCTCTCCATAATCATGTATATCACTATTATATATATCACTTATACATATATATGTGCACATATATATTCATTCTTATTTTTACTGAAATATAATATACATACAGGAAAATGCACTTATTATGAGAGGACAGCTTGATGAATTTCCACAAATCGAACACACCCATGGACCCAGCATCAAGGTCAGGAGGCCTGTTATCAACCTCCCAGAGGACCTGTCACGCACTCATCCCGACACTTCTGCCCCCTCACCTCTGCCCCTTTGGGTGATACACTTTACTACTGTGGATGGATATGCAGGTAGTTTGCTATTACAGGTCTTTTGGTAAACAGGTGGGTCTTCCTGTTGGGACTCATGATATTTTTAGCTTGTTTCTAAAAAGAAGCTGTAGTGTGAGCAGTATGAAGCAGACATTTTTCTTTTCTGTTTTGTTCATGTCTGTGTTCCTAGTGCTTAACATAATATTTGGCACATAGTAGGTATTCAATAATATTTGCTGAATGAACAAATGAGATTCTTTTTCTTTTTCTTTCTTTTGTAGTGGTTCTGAGGACTGAACCCAGGGCTTGGCCCGTGATAGGCAAGTACTCTACACGGAACTATATCTAACCTAACCTAGCTTTATAAATCTACTTTGAGACAAGATCTTGCTAAGTTATCTAGCCTGGCCTCCAACTTGCAATCCTCCTGCCTCATCCTCCTGAGTAGCTAGCATGAAATCCTTTTTCTTTCTCTGATTTTACTGATCAGAATATATGAACCACTGCTTCCCTCTTTCTAAACAATACAAAATTCATTTCTATATATTGTTTTAAATACCCAATATGGAGCCTCCAGAAAGATAGATAACAATTAATCACAGGAAAACTTCAATATAAACTTGAGCCTCAGGAGAGTTGTACAGAACTACGTACCATCTGGTAGATACATAATCAGTATATGGTGGCTGTGACCTCAATTCTCTTGCAAGTCCAAAATCAGCAATTTTCACAAGTTCTGGGCCCATGCAAAGCAAGTTTTCTGGTTTCATGTCCCTATGGAAAAAGCCTTGGCAAAATAGAGAAGAAAAACATAATAAATCCTCATGTTCAAACAGTTTTATTTGATTCACAAACAAAACACAACGGAATCTCTCTACTATAATTAAACATGGTGCTGGAAAAACGACCACATTTATTGATTAAAATGATGAGATGCAGGGATGCTGCTTTCAAAGTGATCTGGCAGGATCTGCACTGTCTCCACTAATGGGACAACCTTAATGAAAGCTATTGCTGTCACTACTGGGTAAGAGATGAGGAGTCAAGGCCCAGAGGGAGGAGACTAATTAACACCTGGGGTCACTTCCTCATCAGCCTTGAGTCTGCGTAGCTGGTCTCACCAGTCCTGTGACACAGTGCAGTGTAACACAAAATACCTTGAGAATAATCACTAATTTCAAAAAGCCATGGACAAAACACGTATTTTAACTTCTTTCTTCATTTAAAATTATTTTAGCTCAATTCGCCCCAGTAGCTTCAGTAATGAGAAGCCCAGTGTTTTTATTACCAATTTAATACATAAGACAGCTCAGTGCAGTGGTGCACTCCTGTAACCCCAGTGGCACAGGAGGCTGAGGCAGGAGGATCATGAGTTCAAAGCCAGCCTCAACAACAGCGAGGCACTAAGCAACTCAGTGAGATCCCGTCTCTAAATAAAACACAAAATAGGGCTGGGGATGTGGCTCAGTGGTCTGGTACCCCAAGTTCAATCCCTGGTACAAAAAAAAAAAGAAGAAGAAAGGAAATATAGATAGATGGTTAGTTACCCAGGATGATGGGCAGCCCAAAGAAAATGAAGCAGGAAACCCAAAGAACACGAAAGCCCTCCTAGTAGGTCAGAGTTGCAGGGAGTCCTTTCCTAAGAGCCACCTCAGGTTTGGACACCGATGGCTTGGACTCTGAGGCCAGGCCAGTTGGAAGAACTGTAGGTGATTTTTATGAGAGGATTGTGTGCAGCTTTGGGGCTAGGATTTTAAAGCCTAAACATTTTTAATCACTTCAAAGCCAGTGACATTAATCCATGAAATCTTAGCAAACTAACCAATTACATATTTATATAACTGAGATTTTCCTCCATGCATTCTAATCTACTGGAAATATTGTCCTGTTTTAACAAATTATTGGTCTTGTTCTTAAACAGGTACTATTAAAATATCTCTTTTATCACAAAGTATTACATCTGAGTTGCTTCACTATAGCAAAAAAAAAAATTGGCTTTTATAAAAATGTCTATTGTCCTTAGAACTTTATTTCTCAAATCACTGTGTAGTCAACTATATTAGTCAACTCTGATTATTCAGCCACAATTTTTAAATCCTAAGCTAACTGCCTCCTTAAATCCTTTATGTTAGGTTATAGTTAATAATGCATAAATAAAGTCAGGCATATCAAGAGTTAATTGAGCAGAGTTTAAAATGTACTGAAAATTAGCAACTCATTATGAACAATTAAAATAGCATGTCATCCTGTATTTCTATGTACTTAAGAAATAACTGACCTTTACCAATGAATCATACTATATATTATCAGACAAGACATGAAGGGAGACTGGGATGGCTGTGTCTGCCTGCAGCAATGATATGATATACACTTTTCCAACTTAATACCTAAATATCTAGTGTTTCTAAACAAATATTCTTTAAAAATAAACATGTTAGATTTTTGAACTAATGATTATTCTGGTTTGATAGATATGCAAAAAACCCTACATAAATTAAAATTACATAAATAAGCAATTCATAGAAAACAGGAACAAGCACCTGCTTTAATTTCACTCAGAGAATAATGTAAATCCTAACAATAATCATGAAACATCACACCACACGGGCTATATGCTACTTAAAAGTTAGTGACTAGTAGAGGATAGGAAAGACAGCAGAATACAACAGACACTAGTATGACAGTATGTAAAAATGTGGATGTGTAACCGATATGATTCTGCAATCTGTGTACGGGGTAAAAATGGGAGTTCATAACCCACTTGAATCAAATGTATGAAATATGATATGTCAAGAACTTTGTAATGTTTTGAACAACTAATAAAAAATAAATAAATAAATAAAAGTTAGTGACTGCTGACGCTAGAACAAAGAATCCCAGTCTTTCCCAAAAGATCTTCTCACTGTTAATGTTTCTGTTACAATCAGGGGGCACAGGTTGCAGGATGAGTTTATTATGATGACTAAGACAACAGGCTGATGAGCAAACTATTAGTTATAGAATACAGATACTCCATATAGGATTATGATATTATAAAGTCTGTGTGCATAGATAGGCACGTATCCCATTACTGAACAGTTGGCATACAATTCTTGTGTGTGACCTTGACAATACAGAGACAGGGAGATCAGACTGAAAAGACACCTACCATGTTTATGGATAAACGCCAGCCCTTGCAATATCTGATACATAATATTTCTGATGACTGACTCAGGGAACAATTTGTTTCTGGAAGAAATGAATACACAGTCATGAAATTCTGTTAGCCTTTCTTGGCCTTAAGATACTGGCTAATGGTGTAATTTATAGATTCATAGTGTTAAAGGTCATAAATTTAAAGTGTGTTCTGATATTTCATAAAAACGCAAATCCAACAGTGAACGTATTTCATATACATTCAATAGTTAAATTCTTTTTTTATTGGTTCCTTTTAGTTATACATGACAGTAGAATCCATTTTGATAATATTATAAAGCATGGAATATTTCTTATTCTAATTAGAACTCCATTCTTGTGGGGGTACACAATAGTGGGATTCACTTAGGTATTTTCATATATGAAAATAGGAAAATTATGTCAGATTCATTCTACTGTCTTTCTTATTCCTATTTCCCTCCTTCCCTTCACTCCCCTTTGTCTAATCTACTGAATTTCTCTTCTTCCCCTCTGCCCCCACTTCCGCACTATATTGTAGTTTAGCTTCAGCATATCAGTGGAAACAGTCCACCTTTGGATTTTGGGGATTAGTTTATTTCACTTAGCATAATAGTCTCCAGATCCATCTATTTACTGGCAAATGTTATAAAGTCATTCATCTGTCTTTATCTATTCATCTGTTGTAGGGCACCTAGGTTGGCTTCATAGTTTAGCTTCAATAGCTAAATTCTAAACTGTCCCAAGAGGAACAAAGTAAAYTGGAAAATTGAATCACTATCAGATAAACCAATGGTGTAAGAAATCTGTATTATGTAGGCTCTAAGAGTTTTAAGGGGCATGCATATTTCAGTTTTATATTGCATATTAGTAACTATTACTGTACTTCTGAAGTCCAATAGAAATACACTAATAGTTACAAATGTAAGTCACTAATATACTTGGTTTTCTAGTAGCCACGTTTTTAAAAAAGCAAATGAAACAGATTAACTTTGAAATTTCTCTAAAAATTTTTATTTTTAACTTATTTTTAACTGATACACAAATACAAAAAATTATACATATTAATTTATTTCGATATGCAATCAATGTAAAATGATTAATAAATTTCTTTTTTTTGTACCAAGTTCTCCAAACTTGGTGTGTAATTTATTGTATGTTAATACCACAGTTCAACTTAGGTGTTTCAAGAATTTTCAACTTAGGTATTTCAAGAATTCATTAGCTACATGTGACTAATGGCTACAGTATTAACAATGTGATTTTAATTGTGTTCACATAATGTCTATAGTAAGATTTTAATAAGGACTAAATTAAGGCTGCAAAATATGAATCTCTGCCAGGCCACCAACTGAAGTGACCAACAATTAATATTTTGACCTTTAGAGATTCTGTCTACAGGTGTAACAATTAAAATGAGAATTTCCTTGGGATTGGTAATTATCACTCACTTAGACTTTCTCACCAGTGATTTTATTAGGTCCTTTCTTGAGAGCTACTTCAGTCCTTTCTCCATTCTTTTTGGCAGAGCTGCATCGGGCATGGGGCATGCTGGGAAGCACTGAACCCCTGAGCTAGGTTAGCCCTAAGATTAGATGCTTTGATAAGATGCTTGAGAGGACAATAAAGATAATTTCCTTACTTTTGCCTAAGGCCAGATTTATTACTGAATATTATAGTATGGGTAGACTTTTTTTTTTTAAAAAAAAGCATATATATATTTTTTGAAAGAAGTACATATATTTATTTATATATAAATATTTTAATATTATTTATATAATATATAAACATATAAAAATACACAAATCTCATACATTATATATTATTTAATATTATTTATTATTATGTTATTTATATAAATATATAATAATTATTTATATATAAATATTTTTACATAAATATATTTACCTTGACTTCTGTAGAAGGTGGCTATGTCCCAGCTGGTCCTTCAGTATAAAGAGCTACCGTTCAATAAAAATAATAACTAATGGGGCTGGGGTTGTGGCTCAGCAGTAGAGTGCTCACCTAGCCCTTGTGAGGCGCTGGGTTAGATCCTCAGCACCACATAAAAATAAACAAATAAAATAAAGGTATTGTGTCCAACTACAACTAAAAAAATATTTAAAAAATAATAACTCCAGTATTTAAATCCACCTCCTGGAGTGATAAATCTATATATCATAATGTATGGCATATTGAAAGGATCCAGGAAATTCATGGAAGAAATAATCTCCAAAACACAGTTTGTATAAAATAAAGACATACCTGTCTTTCATTAATTGATAGAGGTTTTCTTTCATATATTCAAATATAAAATAAAGATGGTCATTTTCTCTGATAACTTCTTTCAGTTTAATCACATTGGCATGATTAAGTTTCTTCAGAGACTGCAAAACAACAAAGCATTTAAATTCTTAAAGCAAATTTATAGAAGTTGGAAAAATCTTATCAATGCTAGGTATGTTAACTACCTTAAATAATTTTCCATTTCATTTAAATTAGTGAACTGTATTTTAATATCTCCATAATCTAAAAAGAATCTTAGAATATCTGCTTAAAGCAAGTAGCAAATATTTTAAATAATGAATGCAAAATAAACCAAGTCAATAATTTCCACCAAACATTTTCAATCTGTCACATTTTCTCAGTCTATTTAATAGGTCTAACTTTTTTTCCTGATTTAGCCATGTGAAACTCCATGTAAAAGTCTCCAAAAATTGTGCCAAGTTATACAGAAAAAATATAAGGAAATGGTATGTTATAGTTTGGAAAGTTGTCTTTCTTTTGATAATATGAATTTAAAATGCTCTTTTAAAAGTGAGAGAACTTTCAAATATGAAGATAGTTATTTTTTGTTCTCCACTAACATCAGAGCAAGAAGAAATGAGAAATGTCTCCAAGAAGGTAAAGGAAAAGCAGACACAATTGTCTTTGGAATGCTTCCCACAGAGAACAGACTGCTCTCCCAGCCACTGTCCCCAGGCCCACCCGAGAAGGAGTGAGGGCTTCAAATGCTTTCCGTCTCTGAGATTTACCTTCACTTCTCTCAAGTTCATACATTCGTCCCAAGAATAGAACTTTCTCTTCATCCTGAAATAAATAAAGGAAACGTTTAACATACAGGGTGGAGGAATCCAAGGTACAAATTTGGGTGAGCTGATAACTTCTCTTTTTGGTTTAGTTTCTTAAAGGAAATCAGCTCCTCTGGCCTCTCAAGGCTGTTGGTAAAGGCTCTTGCCTGTCTGGTCTGACATTCTGCTTTAGCACAAAGATGCATTACCATTAATCTTCCTTTCCGGTTGAGTCCTTAACATTTTCCTAATCAGTTTAGTTATGCTTTGCTCAAAGAGCCTCTTCCATATTTCCTTTCTTTTTTGGAACTTAAAAGATGAATAGAAGCAGGTGAGTGGTGCACTCCTATAATTCCAGTAACTCGAGAGGCTAAGGCAGGAAGATCACAAGTTCAAAGATAGCATCAGCAATATAGCAAGGCCCTAGGGAACTCTGTGAGACCCTATCTCAAAATAAAAAATAAAAAGGGCTGGAGGTGTGGCTCGGTGGTAAAGCACCCTTGAGTTTACTGCCTAGTACCAAAAAAAAAAAAAAGAAAAGAAAAGAATAAGCAATACTGTACCCCAGAGAGGGACAGGGGAAGAATCAGTTTTGGTAGCAAATTAGTCAATAATTTGATCAAACAACTTTTATATCATTACCTAGCTTTAGAAAAGAGGACCACAAAGTTAAATGGCTTAAGCAGTGAGACTCAGAGCGAGAAGGCTTTAGAAGTAGTTTGCTTGCTTCCTTTAGTACTGGAGGCTGAACCAAGCCTTTCCTGGATTTTGTCCTTTTCTTTCCCTCTTCCATCCCAGTGTGGACACCATTAGAGATGCATACCAAGAGTGTATTTAGAGTAATCAAGCAATTCCATTATGTATACCATAGGTAGAAGCCGTGTTTGCATATGAATAGATTTGTAGTCTATTCAATATCAGATAGGAGATGTGTTCTAAAAACTGTTTCTTCAGGGATAGGAATTACACTTGCTGTCTTTTGAAAACTCAAAACCAAATAGGCCCTACTGCTTTAGTTTAGCATTATAATCTCCTACCAAGGTGTTCTAGAAGATCCCCAAGAAGCTTAGTGCTACATTATTAATTGGAATAAGTCTCATAATCCAGAGCCTCTACCAGGGTATAACACACAGTGGAGGAACTGGGGAAAGAGCCGGCAGCACATCACGGTTAAGGACACAGGATGTGAGCTGTGGAGTTGCATGGCCTCGCCGCAGACCTTGGCTCAGCAGCTCACTGACTGATGACCTTGGATGAGAGTGACCTCATGGCCCCTCTGTACCTCAAATTCCTTAGCCATAAAGTAGAAGCTATTGCACAGGAAAAAGTATATTGCAAAATGTTTAATTCAGGACTCAGTAAACAGTAAATATTCTTATTTTTACCAATTATCTATGATTGACTATAGGACATGTAGCTTATCACTGTTATAATCCCTAAAATACCCTTAATGAATCAGAAATTCAGCTCTAGTCAAGTACTAGAAATTTATGAAGAAATGAAATCAAGGGTTTATCAGTGTACTGAAATATACTTTTCAGTGTTACAGATTCATAAAATTTCTTGCTAAAATATAAAAGATGAATGTAGCATAATGCTGAATTTGTAATAAAAATCAGGGCTGTGTTTGTGGCTCAGTGGTAGAGTGCTCACTTAGCATGTGCGAGGCCCTGGGTTCAAAGATCCTCAGCACCACATTAAAATAAATAAATAAATAAATAAATGTATTGTGTCCAACTACAACTAAAAAATCAACTCAAAATATAGCTAGAAAAGAAAATTCACTTAGTAGAATGCTCACATCCATCCCAAACTGCATTTATTATCTGCTATGATTCTTAAAAAACAACTTTCTTTCTTTTTTTTTTTTTAAAGAGAGAGAGAGAATTTTTTTTAATATTTACTTTTTAGTTTTTCGGCGGGGCACAACATCTTTGTTTGTATATGGTGCTGAGGATGGAACCCGGGCCACACGCATGACAGGCTACAGCGCGACCGCTTGAGCCACATCCCCGGCCCAAAAAACAACTTTCTAAGATTAAAAAAGTATCTAATCTTTTAGAAACCAGATAAAAATATACTCAAAAACTTTTCATAATTCAGTAGTAATTGACACTTTGATTCTACTTGCAAAATCTGTATTCTTTTCGTCCATATTTACTAATATGGTTCTTTCTTTCCAGCAATTACTATTTCTCAGCAATGCTTCCTCTTAAGGTGACATATATATCTATCAATTACAAATACAGATAATTCCTTGCACAATAATTACCCCAAAGACAATCCAGCTTCTTGGTATAGCTAATAAGAGGCATTTCCTTTTAGGCTCCTGCTGTTTTCTCTCATTTTTCCATTTGTCTGCCTTCTACTACGTACCAGAAGAATGAGCCAGTCAGAGATGATTACTACGGAATTTCCTATCTGTTAGAACTAGACTTCAGACAAGTGAACACAAAGCAGAAGCAGAAATGAGTTATAGGGACCATGAGCGAGAACAGCAAGGGGATCTTTTAGATCAATGGTCAGGCCATCTTGATAAGAGAGTATGTCAGCTGAGACCTCAAAGATAGAAGGTACTTGCATACGAAGACAAAAAATAAGATTCAGGCAGACAGAAACAGCTAGGAAGAGCTGGCTGTTAAGGAGTGGGAGTCTAATCCAGACCAGTTGTTATTTCTTTAATGCCTTGAGCTAATTTTCATGGCTACTCCCAACAACTCCTGGTAGGAGAATGATAATGCTGCTCTCCTAGGTCACCCTTCCTGCTCTGCTGCTCCTGCACGGCGCTCGCCACCTGCGAACACCCTCTGTAATGTACCTACTAGGTTTAGTCCTCCTCTTTTCCCAAATATAAATTCCTTGGGGACACTCTTAGATGCCTACATCTGGTTGTGGTACATGACAGGTGCTCAATAAATATTTGCTAAACCACTAGATGCATTTCTGCACCCACAGGTGGCTCACTGAGGACATAAGTTCTCACACCCAGGAACACCTCAGAAATGGAGTTGCCTCCCAAGTCCTTAAGAGTGGAAGCTTCATGAACATTGATCTCAATGAGGTGAAGGAATCTTCCTCCCCTGCCTTGCATGCACTGAAGTGTCTTGGTTTCCCCCTTGTTGTTATTGTTTAGAGACAGGGTCTCTCTGTGTTGCCCAGACTGGCCTTGAACTCTGGTGCTCAGGAGATGCTCTTGCTTCAGCCTCCTGAGCAGCGGTGCCACTGTGCTCTGATGTTATAGTTTTTTGTTGTTGTTGTTGTTTTTAATGGCAGCAGATACGCGGTGCCATAAATTAAAATCCCCCAAAGGGCATCTTCAGAAAAGAACGTTTTATTTTATTCTTTAAAGTCACTCGCCCTCAACACATGCAGTCAGTTCTGACTGCATCTCTAGATTGCTGAAAAGCTTTCCTTATGAAATTAAGTACAGTTGTGTGTGCTTAAGGGATAACTTCTGATAAGTGTGTCCTTCCGTCACTTTGTCCTTGTGCCTACGTCTTAGAGTGCTCTGACACAATCTAGATGGTGGGGCCTCCTGTACACGATGCTCTTTGGTGCAGACTGTGTGACTGTGGTCCATACAGCGTGCTGTCATATATACGGTCCATCATTGAAAATGTCATGCGGCATAGAACTCCCATTTCTTCCCCACACTCATATTCTCAGATTGTCCCACCCCACTGGACATCCGCCATCGCCACACACCCCCCCGCTTCTCCTGGCCACCTCTGTGGTGTGCTAGCCCTTGTCCTCCACTCTGCTTTTCAGCCTCGTGGATAACTGATCATGTCTCATTCTAACAGCACCCACCCCCACACCAATTCCTCGTTCCTCTGTAAAACGTTTTTAGAATGGAAAACTCCTCCCATATAAGCAACTTCTTCTCAAGGGGACACGCTTACTGTCTTCTTTGAAGACCAAGGACCGGCAGCTCTTCTCCATCTGCACATTCAGAATATATTCAGCATAGAATTTATTCTATTTGGGGGGGGGGAGGAATGGATAGATTTAAAATGTGTAAACCTAGAATTTTTATGGCCTAAATTGGGAGTGCTGAAATTTTTTATGCCATCAAGCATAAGATGATGGTCCTGATCGGATATTATGGGATGTGAGTGGTTTTGGTAAAAAATAGGGATGCATGGAGAACAGAAATCAAGGGGTCTGTCATCTACCATTTTCAGGTGAAGTTCATTCCTTTGCATAGGAATTTATGAGGAAATGCAAAGTCTTCTCAGTGGCTCTTGAAGCAACTCAAGGTGAGCTCCACCCCGAGTCTCCCTTCTGCAAACTGAGGAGCACCCACGTGGACAGTCCTGCCGTCGGCCTGGCTTCACAGTTCCCCACTCCAAAATGTTCTCTTCTGTCCTGTACAGTCACTCAGACACATTTGATCATCACAAGGGACAGTTCTTGAGTGGCTGCTCTCCAAGACCTCACCTTTAAAAATGTCAGACTCTGGCTGTAACCCCGCCCTTCCACCACCATTACCCCACGATGCGTTCACACTCCCCCTTTTCAAGCTTTGCTACTCCTGCAGTCGCCTGCGTGGCTCTGCTGGCCTCATCCAGCGGGGCCCAGCCTTTCTTCACTGTCCTCTCAAGGCCCCGCCCTCTCCCAGCTTCCTGCCACTCTCGCTGGGCATCCTCTGGTCTCCGCCTTCCCTACAGCTGGTGGAGCGGGGGCGGGGTAAGTCCCTCAGTGCTCGCAGAGGCTCCGCTTCCACGTCTGTCCACGGAATCTCAGGGGGACTCTCACTGGTATCCGGCAGTTCTTCTGTGACTTCAGTTACCTGGTTACACATTCTTCCCAACTATCCAAAGCCCAGTACCGCTGTCACCATCCTTCCTTCTATTCTTTGCTCTACTGCAGTCTAGCTGATCTCTTCTACAGTTTCATAGGACTGACATTTACTGTAGCCACCAGCTATGTCATAGTCCCCCAATCCAAGGAACAACACAGGAGATAATATGGTGTGGATACCAAAAGGCCATTTCTAGCACTTTACTTTTTTTTGCC